TAATCAATGCAGAGTTTACGTTGGGTATGACTAAAAAGTTTTAACGGTAGTAATATACAAGGGAAGTGTCTAGAAATTAGACTAAGAAAGAAGCTCAGGTCATGTTGTGAAAGCTTTTGATTCCCTGCCCAGAAATCTAGACTTTATTCAATAGTCAAGAGAGAGCCACTGCAGGCTTCTAAACAGGCTTGTAAACATTGCAGGCCATGGAGAGATTCATGTTGGAAGGATAACCAGTGACAATTTGGAGGTTAGCTGGTTCTCCCGTTGATGATCCCGGTCAATGGGTTCACTTACCATACCCTATATATTGACACTTTTGGAAACATACAACATAGTCATCACTTTCTCAGGCTTGGGAAGAGTTACGTTTCTGCTGTTGAGCTTTCAACTACGTCCATTTCCAGGAGAGGTAGTAATAAGCATCAGCTTAGCCAGTTGTTAGTGACTTTTGCTCTTACCACTGCTCTTATTGATGCTAGATCTTGTATTACTGTTTCTGATAACGGAGTTTTGTTCTGCGATAGGTGCTGTAATACACAGCTGGAAAGGATGTGTGAGTCCCTTTGTTATCTTAATTAAGAAAGTGCCTCAGTAAGAGGCAAGCTCCTATCTTTGTAATTCCGCACTTTGATCCCCATTTACTCTTCGCTTGGACACTTCCACACTGAAAAGCTTCTGGGAACCTAGCAGCCCTCTGTGCCTCCAGGACCCACTACCTTCCCTCCTTATCTACTGCAATTCAAATAATCGACTCCAGCTTTCTGGTTTTGATTTTCTGTGTCTCAAATTCTCTTACTACATCTGTTCAGTTAGAATTCATATGCTCTATTCTTAATAAATGAATGTGAATGCTTTACGAAAAAGCCACTCGGGATAACTATCTCAGGCTGTGATCTTGAAAGGCAGATGCTCCTGGTTTTTTGTTTCTGTTTATTTTTTTTCCACCCATGTGATTTCTGTAACCTCACTTGGTATCATTTGAGATGGCAGCAAAGAACTTCTGCTACCATAGACACCACTTCACGGTTCACCACGCTTATTTCCAAACTTCACAGGAAAACTCTAAATTTCTGATCATTGGCCCATTAAAGTGTTAAAACTTGGTGTCCACAAGACCAGAAAAACTAGACAATAATTTGGTCTCAACCCTGTGCTTTGGGCCTGAGCAAGTAAACCTGATTGATTATAGCACAGTCTCTCACCCAGGAAACAATGGTGAATTGTCAATATCATCTCATTCGGTTCCATATTCAAGAGGAAAATCGGAAGTCAAAAAGAAAACGAACCAGACGGTGGAGTCTATAGAGCCTGGGTTCCAGCCACAGGAAGTAAAGAATCTTTTAAATTCCACTTAAAATATAAAAGATAAATGTTTTATATGAAGAAACATTCAGGATGGGTTGGGGTTTGTGTCTTTTTTAACAGAATGGTCTGCAAGCTCTAAGAAATTCCTGGAGTAGCCGTTGCCCTTGATGGCTTCTGTATTTCCCTGATTTTATCTTTTCATCTCGATTTGCTGGTAAGTTTTTCTTCTCATATCTTACTCCTGACCCCGTATGTGCAAGGTCAGATCTCACGCCTTCAATCGGGATCCCTCTTCTCTTTTTCCCCTCTTAACCCAAAATCCTCCAAGACTTCTGAAGGCAGAAAGGCTGAAAATTTCAAAGCAATCTTTAGAAAAACAGAAGTTGGTTGGATACCAGTCTAAAAATTTTAATCTCATCAAACCAGATTGCCTTGTGCCATCAGAATTATAAAAAGCTACACACACAAAAAAAATCAGTAGCTAAAAATGTTACAGTTTAGTTAGAAGAATATTTTTAATGACTTTAGACATATTAGTTGAAAAGAAAGTGGGGGGGACGCAATTTAACACCAGCTTTCCCTCACGCTTGGTGGCAAAGTCAAGCTGTTTATGCAAGAAGCTAGTCACTCCAATTAATATTAAACAAAAAACCTGTGGCAACCTAACACCGAAGTCACAAATTTAAAGCCCCAGAAAGTCACCACTGGCTGCCATCTGGTCATCAGTCCTAAACAACCTCCGTTCCTCTATAATGTGTCAGGGAATTTCAATTTTCTTATAGTTTCTCATATTTAAATTTTGAGTTAAGATTTGAGTAGGATGTACAGAAAGACTGCTCTTTCTTGGTCCTCAATGAAGGAGAATTGTGTCTGTTTCATCTGCAGCCTGGTCTTTCTTGAAAATGCAGGAGTGGTGAACCCTGCACATCAGCCTATAGTAAGAGCAAGAGGGGCTCACAGAGCATGAAGTCGGACTCTCTTATTTATTTATTGACGAAGTCCTGCTCTGTCACACAGGCTGGAGCAATGACGCTATCTTGGCTCACCGCAACCACTACCTCCTGGGTTCAAGCAATTTTCCTGCCTCAGCCTCCTGAGTAGCTGGGACTACAGGCACGTGCCACCATACCAGGTTAATTTTTCTATTTTTAGTAGAGACAGGGTTTCCCCCTGTTAGCCAAGATGGTCTCGATCTTGCCTCCTGATCTGTCCCCCCAGCCTCCTAAACTGGGATTACAGGCATGAGCCACAATGCCTGGCCTGGACTCCTTTATTTTATAGATGGAGAGACTGAGGTTAGGAGAGTTTAGTGACTTGTCCGAGGCCACTCCTCTAGCTTAGGGCATCCTGAACAACAATCCCTAACGTTCTCTTTGGTGTTGGCATGCTTTGGGGCAGGACTCTGGACTTAGCTGTTCAGCTGTATTTACTGTATTCACCATTGTGTCATTTGATTTATCCATGCCAGAGTGGAGGCTCAGCAAATGAATGAATAATTGAAAAATGGGAATGAGATACCACCATATCTAAATACCAGATTACCAAAAAGTAACAGCCGAACTGCCTGAGTTTTCAAATGTTCACTGAGAAATGGGAAGAGCTTGGCATGAGCTTTGAGTCTAATTGGGGTGTCTCTTCATACCAAATACCTAGTCAGACCCTAGGATTTGGATTACAGTGCATCTGCACACATATTATGCAAAGGAACCACCGGTCTTTCACTGTGAAACAAAATCCAGCATAGCTCAGCTCATCTACCAAACAATATCACTGTTTATGTATTCCAGGGCCCATTCTAATGAGCCAGGGAAACCTCTCCCAAACAAATTGGGTTTGTATAAGGTTACACTAGTGATGGGAACGCAAAAACAGGATTAAAATAAAAAACTTCCTGGCCCGATGCCATAGTGCATATCTGTAACCCCAGTACTTTGGGAGGCCGAGGCAGGCAGATCACCTGAGGCCAGGAGTTCAAGACCAGCCCAGGCAACACGGCAAAACCCCATCTCTACAAAAAATACAAAAATTAGCCAGGTGTGGTAGCGGGTGCCTGTAATCCCAGCTGCTTGGGAGACTGAGGTGGGAGAATCACTTGAACCCAGGAGGCAGAGATTGCAGTGGGCCAAGATCATGCCACTACATTCTAGCCTGAGTAAGACTCTGTATCAAAAAAAAAAAAACCACAGCAACCAACCCCCACCAAAAAAGCCCTCTTCCCTCCATCGCCCTAAAACAATAAAAAGATTCTGTTCCTAAATTGTTCTACTATAAGGACACATGCACACGAATGTTCATTGCAGCACTGTTTACAATAGCAAAGACCTGGAACCAACCCAAATGCCCATCGATGATAGACTGGACTGGGAAAATGTGGCACATATACACCATGGAATATTATGCAGCAATCAAAAACGATGAGTTCGTGTCCTTTGTGGGGACATGGATGAACCTGGAGAACATCATTCTTAGCAAACTGACACAAGAACAGAGGATGAAATACCGCATGTTCTCACTCATAGGCGGGTGATGAACAATGAGAACGCATGGACACAGGGAGGGGAGCATTACACAGTGGGGTCTATTGGGGAGAATAGGGGAGGGACAGCAGGCGGCGGGGAGCTGGGGATGGATAGCCTGGGGAGAAATGCCAGATGTGGGTGAAGGGGAGGAAGGCAGCAAATCACACTGCCACATGTGTACCTATGCAACTGTCTTGCATGTTCTGCACATGTACCCCCAAAACCTAAAATGCAATTTTAAAAAAAGGTTAAAAAAAAGATTTTGTTCATTTGGAGGAAAAACAAAACCAAACCAACACTTCTTGGCAGCCAAAGGAACTTGGAGGAACACGGAACCTCACGTGGCTTGGGATGACGGCATACCATCAGATTTTCAATTAGTCAGCTAGGTTACAACAATCGACATTAAGATAATACTCAGAAACAACAACAGTAAGAAAACAAACTCAACCACCTGCCACCTCCTCTCACGGAAAGCCAGCCAGGGCCAGGCAGTGGGCACCAGTCAGTACCTTCCAAGGGAACATTTCCTTTTCCTGGAAAAGCAATTCTAATACACGAAATTTGCTCTAAAAGTCACCAGCTGAGAAAAAGTAAAGCCTGCATGTGAATTTTCTCTAATGTCTAAAGCAAAAAAGCAGTGCCCCGACACTGGTAATATTTTCCTAAGAAATTATGTTGAGCCCTTTCTCTTTCCTTTTTCACCTTCAGGAGAGGGAGAACAATTTCAGACCCCACTTAATACTGCTCAGAACTTCCTCTGATTTCAGACAGTGACGGGTACCAGGTCCTCCCCTGTGCATATAATCCTTCCTGTGTCCAAATGTTTTGTAATCAGATGTGGTAGTTCCAGATTCTCTTTATTCCAAACAGAGCCAGGAAGTAATTTCTCAGACAGTTTAACTTTGACAGCAGGTAATTCTAATCTTATCGCAAACATCAGTCTGACATGGCCTTATTATCTTCATTATTTTAATTACTCTTTTGAGCCACTGTTTCCCTCATTTGTTCCAGGAAGGAGTGCATAGAAACTGGCAGCTTTCATCTTATCATGCCACTTAGCAGATTTTTTTTTTTTGCGCTTAATAACAACATCATTTAGTGTGGACCTTAAGTAATGAAATTTGTTGGTGAAACTCTTTATCTTAACCAAAAACAAAGGGAAAAACTTACCTTTTCTGATGGGAAGTCACGTCACACTGCTGTCTGTGCTGCTCTGAACTGCTGACAGTTTCTGTTAATTTGCTTTCACTCCCCAGTTCAACTTTCCCATATGGAAAGCTGGAGTTTTGAATAACAGCAAGTAATATCTGATGTGGCAGCAACCGGCAGCTCTGACATCGAGCTTGGCTGTGGCCATTACCCAGAATTCCCCACTTCTCCTTGAGAAGCAATTACAATTTCACAGGCTGGAATTAAAATTCCCTGTGGTATGCAATAGAGCAACTCTCACTGTCAAAGTGATTTCAAGCTGCTAATCTCTTGCTGGAGGATGAGTGAAAATAGAGTTCCTCTTCATGGAAACCAAGGCCTGAAAACTTTAAAACTCAGAATCTTTATTTTAATTCACTCCAAGGTCAGACGGCACTGACCCAACAAAATGTGTTATGTCATTAGATGGCGGAATATAGGGGCGTGGTCACTAAAGTAGGGCTGGAAGAGGAGGAGGAAGTGGTGGTGCTTGGACTGGGAATGAAAATAACAAAAAGTGGGCCCACCTCTTTATGAACCAACCGTAAGATGAGAGAAGGAAATATGCGATGACTCGTGAGCTCTATTGTGGGGAAGGACACAGAGGATAAATGCCTTCAGAGAAGGTTCTCCAAGTTCTTTCTGGAGATCCTCTTCTCACAGATCAGAGGGTACAGCCCTCCCTGGGCTGGGGAGAGCACAGAGGCAGTGTGCTGTATCAGAAGGCTCAGAGCTTTGGGCATTACACCTGGGTTCGCATCCTTCTCTCCACCCACTCACAGTGCAATCTCTTCCATGGAAATAGAAACTCACTGAAACTCAGCTTCCTCATCGGGAGAATGGGCTCAAATATACCTTTTCAGTGGCCCATACATCACAGATGCTGATTAAATATTAGTTATTAACAAACAGAAAGGCCTTGTCTAATCATGAGGTCCCCCAAACCTCATAACTTGTGTCATAGCCAACGACCATCAACAGAATTATTTACTTAATGGTTTTCAATGACTCACTTTTGAAACTTTATTTTAAAGGAATGCTTAGTATCTCATATAGAAAACCTATCTCTTGCCATATATACTTACCATTTAAAACAGTGCAAAATAAGAAGCGTTAATAAATTCTACTTAGCTTTCCCTGAAGGTGGCTTTGGTATTTAGTTAACAAAGAACAGAAGAAACAGAACTGACAGAGAGGTGGGAGCACAACTAAGCCGAGTCTCAATTCTTATCAGCCTCTACAATAACCCACTTGTACCTCCCTCTGGAGGCCTGGTCCACTTTTATTAGCCTGCTTGTTACATTGCCTCTAGCCTCATTTTCTTCTTACATTTGAAAATAGTGAAGGATGTATAACCAGCAGAGAAGCCAGTCAACCCCTCTGAGTTCTTCTGTCACTTGCCTTCCTGGATGCTGATTTTCTTTCTTCCTCAGGAAGAAAGAGGCAGCCCCTGTAAATGAGCATTGGTGGGAATCCAGCAATACCCCTCACTCCTGAATTTCATGATGGCCAGGGGCACTGAAGGAGCAGAGCCAGTCACTGTCCTGCCCAGGGCCTGACCTCTTTCATTTTTTCGTAAGTGCCCAGCCCCGTGAGCTCGGGAGCCTCAGATTCATTTTCATGTTGTTCCATGGGTGATGTTTGCTCTGACAAGTTTTTCAGAGGAAAATGATGAAGTAGGTATTTTTTTCTACAGCTACCCAACCACCTTGTGTGATCTTACCCTTTTCTTTTTCAATTTAATATTTTTCTTTTGTTAGGAGTTTTTCTGCAGTCTTCTAGCTAAGCGCGTGTCCATTTTTAGAATGACAGCTGTTTCAACTACGTTTTAAAAACTGCACTTAAAAAGAAGATCATCTATAGGTAAAAGTCCAGGGCCAGCCTTAGAGCTGGTAGAGCAAAAGTCCTAGAATGAATGAGGATTTAGAAGATAAGAAATCTCCATTTCTCCTGCAGCCTTTCTGTCTGGTTTTGTAGTTACTTCTTGGTGTGTCCCAGCTGCACATTCTCCCAGGTTACCCGCAAAGCCATGTCCCTTGGAAGCATCAGCTACCCACGCTCAGTGGTAATGTCCACAATCTGATCCCAAAGTGAATCTACAGAGAGATAATTATGCAAAAGAACAGAAGTATTTATGACATTGAATAAAAATTAGGATTAAGAGGGAAGAGAGAGATTGCTGGCAAGATGGCTGAATAGGAAGAGCTTTGGCGAGAGCTCCCAGTGAGAGCAATGTAGAAGGCAAGTGAGCTCCACATTTCCAACTGAGGTACCCAGGTCACCTCATTGGGACTGGTTAGATCGTGGGTGCAGCCCAAGGTGGGCGAGCCGAAGCAGGGTGGGGCATCGCCTCACCCGGTAAGCACAAGGGGCCAGGGAACTCCCTCTCCTAGCCAAGGGAAGCCATTAGGGACTTTTCCCTGCACCCTGGCCCAGATGCTGCACTTTTCCCACAGTCTTCACAACCCACAGACCAAGAGATTCCAACCGGTGCCTAAAACACCAGCACCCCAGGTTTCCAGCAGAAAACTGGGTGGTGGTTTGGGAAGACACAAAGCTACTAGCTGCAGTAGTTTCTCTTCATACCCCAGTGGCATCTGGAATGCCAGTGAGACAGAACCATTCACTCCCCTGAAGAAGGGCTGACGCCAAGGAGCCAAGTGATCTGGCTCAGTGGGTCCCACCTCAATGAAGACCAGCAAGCTAAGATCCACTTGCTTGAAATTTTTGCAGCCAGCACAGCAGTGTGAGTTCAACCTGGGATGTTTGAGCTTGGTGGGGGGAGTGGTGTCTGCCATTGCGGAGGCTCAAGTAGGTGGTTTTAATCTCTCCTGTATAAACAGAGTTGCCAGGAAGTTTACACAGTGACTGGGCAGAGCCCATGGCATGTGAGCAAGGCCTCTGCAGGAAGACTGTGTCACTAGACTCTCTACTTGCTGGGCAGGGCACCTCTAAAAAAAAGGCAGCAGCCTGTCAGAGACTTATAAAGCCCCTGCCTTCCTGGGATAGAACACCTGGGAAAAGGGGAGATTGTGAGTATCGCTTCAGTAGACTTAAACATCCCTGATCTGAAGAGAGCAGCAGATCTCCCACCACAGAGTTTCAGCTCTGATAAGGGACCAAATGGCTCCTCAAGTGGCTCCCTGACCCCCGTGTATCCTGACAGGAAGACATCTTCCAGCAGGGGCTGACAGACACTTCATACAGGAGAGCTCTAGCTGGCATCTGGCAGGTACCCCTCTGGGATGAAGCTACCAGAGGAAGGGATAGGCAGCAATCTTTGTTGTTCTGCAGCCCCCACTGGTGATGACCAGGCAAGCAGGGTCTGGAGTGGACCTCCAACAAATTCCAGCTGACCTGCAGCAGAGGGGCCTGACTGTTAGAAGGAAAACTAAGGAATAGAAAGAAATAGCTTCAACATCAACAGAAAGGATGTCCACTCAGAGACCCCATCCAAAGGTCACCAACTTCAAAGACCACCAGTAGATAAATCCACAAATATGAGAAGAAACCAGAAAGAAAAAAGGCTGAAGATTCCAAAAACCAGAATGCCTCTTCTCCTCTAAGGGATCATCACTCCTCACTGGCAAGGGAACAAAACTGAACAGAGAATGAGTTTGATGAATTGACATGAGCAGGCTTCCAAAGGTGGGTAATAACAAACTTCTCCAAGCTAAAGGAGCATGCTATAACCCAATGCAAGGAAGCTAAGAACCTTAAAAAAAGGTTAGATGAAAAGCAAGCTAGAATAACCAGCATAAAGAAGAACAAAAACAACCTGATAATGCTGAAAAACATGCATGAGAACTTTGTGAAGCATACACAAGTTTTAACAGCTGAAACAAGCAGAAGAAAGACTATCAGAGATTGAAGATCAACTCAATGAAATAAAGTGAGAAGACAAGATTAGAGACAAGAGAGAGAAAAGAAATGAACAAAGCCTCCAAGAAATATGGGATTATGTGCAAAGACCTAATCTACATTTGATTGGTGTACCTGATAGTGATGGGGAGAATGAAACCAGGTTGAAAAACACTCTTCAGGATATTATCCAGTAGAACTTCCCCAAGCAACAATGCAGGCCAACATTCAAACTCAGGAAATACAGAGACCACCACAAAGATATTCCTTGAGAATACCAACCCCAAGACACATAATCGTCACATTCACCAGGGTTGAAAACGGAGGAAAAATGTTAAGGGTAGCCAGAGAGAAAGATCAGGTTACCCACAAAGGAAGCCCATCAGACTCACAGCAGATCTCTCAGCAGAAAACCTATAAGCCAGAAGAGAGTGGAGACCAATATTCAACATCCTTAAAGAAAATAACTTTGAACCTAGAATTTCATATCCAGTCAAGCTAAGCTTCATAAGCAAAAGAGTAAGAAAATCCTTTATGGACAAGCAATTGCTGAGACATTTTATTACAACCAGGCCTGCCTTACAAGAGCTTCTGAAAGAAGCACTAAACATAGAAAGGAACAACCGGTACCAGCCACTCCAAAAACATACCAAATGGTAAAGACCATCAACGCAATGAAAAAAATGCGTCAACTAATGAGCAAAACATCCAGCTAGCATCAAAATGGCAGGATCAAATTCACACATAACGATATTAACCTTAAATGTAAATGGGCTAAATGCCCCAATCAAAAGGCACAGACCGGCAAATTGGATAAAGAGTCAAGACCCACTGGTGTGCTGTATTCAGGAGATCCATCTCACGCACAAACACATACAAGGACTCAAAATAAAGGGATGGAGAAAGATTTACCAAGCAAATGGAAAGCAAAAAACAAAACAAAATAAAAAAAACAGAGGTCACAATCCTAGTCTCTGATAGACTTTAAACCAACAAAGATCAAAAGAGACAAAGAAGGGTATTACATAATGGTAAAGAGATTAATGCAACAAGAAGAGCTAACTATCCTAAGTATATATGCACCCAGTAGAGGGGCACCCAGATACAGAAAGCAAGTTCTTAAAGACCTACAAAGAAACTTGGACTCCCACACAATAATAGTGGAGATTTTAACACCCTACTGTCAATATTAGATCAACAAGACAGAAAATTAACAAGGATATCCAGGACTTGAACTCAGATCTAGAACCAAGTGGACTTAATAGACATCTACAGAACCTTTCACCCCAAATCCACAGAATATAGATTCTTCTCAGCAGCCCATCACACTTACTCTAAAACTGACCACAAAATTGGAAGGAAAACACTCCTCAGCAAATGCAAAAGAATGGAAATTGTAACAAACAGTCTCTCAGGCCACAGTGCATTCCAATTAGAACTCAGGATTAAGAAACTCACTCAAAATTGCACAACTACATGGAAACTGAACAACCTGCCCCTGAATGACTACTGGATAAATAGTGAAATGAAGGCAGAAATAAAGATGT